TTACTAATGACCGATATATTACTGAAGCTACATTGGTCGCGTAAGCGTCTGAAACCCGGCTCGTCTAACACTGGTTACACTATGCAGCAGTATCAGTGTACACTGTGCAATCAGTGTAATGAGCAATGTTGAAGTTGTGTCTAATGTAGTCTTGCAAAATCATATCTTTATAATAGATTTTTTGGTGTAAGATAAATAATAATTAAGTTATTTACTTTGAATTTTAATGATGATATATTCATTTGATGAGTTTTTGTGTAAAAAATTCTGAAAAAATATCGCTACTTGGCCTAAACATTTTTTAAGGTTATAGGAAACTTATCATTTAACTCTTTAAGGGTCGGTTGTTCCATCTTTTGGTAAATTTTACCTGTTGGATAAGTAGCAAGATTATCCAATTATATGCGCGATTATAAGATTTACCTTATAAAATTTACCAAAAGGTGAAATAACCGGCCCTAAATGAGGTTTGAATTAAACATTTACCTGGAATAAATTTAAATTTTTCTTATTCAGATTGAATTCAAATTGAACATAATTATACATGAAATTATATATGAAATTTGTATTTTAATACATATTGATATGATCCCATATATAAATTTTCTCAATTGTTTTTGATGCCAAGTAAAAATGAGTACTCGGGTATTGAATGACATTCATAATGATTTAAAACAGCTTATAACAGTGCTTACATCATTCGAGGTATGTGTGCAGTCAAGTTGATATTTATGATATACATGTGTGAGAAATTAATGACATCTTACAAAATATAAATTTTTACATACTCAGGAAGATGAAGAAGGATTTCGGATATGCGAACGATTTTGTTTGTCAAATATTAAACACCATCGCTATCTTTCTATTGATAGTCATGCAACCAAGGAAGCAATAAATGCAGTGGTTACTAAATTTTCGATCCATGGAAAATATGAGGTTGCTAAAAAGTTTCAGGAACTGATTGATTCCTTCTTGTCTAGTTTTGACTTTGAGCAACATCCACAATATGATCTACAGTGGCATTTGTTGACGTTCTTGTTAGATTTATCCACTGAAACGCATAAGTCTAACTTAGACAGTTTAAAATTCACACGTGGAGAACACAGCTTTAATGCAGGTACTGGAAATGAAGATAACATTACAGATGAAATTGATTGGGCACAGTATTTAAAGGAGGGCCAGGAAAATTTCTTTTGCAATTATAAAAGTGATGATAGCGAGAGTGTAGGTATATTTCATGTAAGAAATATGAAAGTAAATTTTTCTCATTTATGTTAATGTTTTTTTATTTTTGTATTTGTATAGGAATGGTCTGATTTAACGGAAGAAAGAACTGATGAAAATGATATTTCTTTGCCAACACAAAGATGTAATATTCAATTAGATATTGCACATCCTCTAGAAGTTTCTAATAGTGCAACAGATAAATTTTCTCTAGCATTAGTACAAAATCTTGAATCTAGGAAATGGCTCTTATCAAATGTTCAAACCGATTGGTGGAACAATCTAAAATGTCAAAAGTATCCTGTTATTAAACGATCTTGTGACACCAGTATATGTGATATATGGTATTTTTTATTTTTACTTTTTCTGTTAATTTATTTTATCTAAGAGACAATATTAAATTTGTGATATTGTTCTTAAATTTGTACTTATAAGGCATAAGACAAATTTGTCAGTTGTGTATAAAGTGGCTACTCTCAGTGAGTATCAAGTATGCAGAGAATTGTTATGGATGTTTTATGTTCAAACGTCAATGGTAGTATTTCAAGAGGATAGCGAATCAAAATTCTCAATACGTTCGGATATATCTATACCAAGTTTGACAACTGTATGTTGCTTTTATCATTTTCAAATTTTATGTAATCTTTCATTATATATTATATCGAATTATTATATTGTTTGTACACTACTTTCAGACTGCTTTTAAAAGTATCTTAACACCATTCTGCAAATATTTTTCGATGATATATGATATTGAAAAATTTGGATCTGATTTGCAATTAACTTATAATCAAGAACTTCAGAGTCCTCCATTGACCTATGAAGCATATAATGCTGCACTTAGGCAATATTTGTATGACTTTAAAACTAAAGTGGTTAATATGGAAAAGGATATTATGAAGCAAGGTAAATTCATGCATTTGTTTGTTTTATTACAGTTTTACTAATAATTTTTTTATGTTCTAGAAAATTGCAATACGTTCTTATCTTTATCAACTAAGCTGAGAAGACATTTGAATATTATAAACATTATCTATGATATACATCAGAATGTTATAACTGATTGGAAAGTCAACCCTAATTGGAAATGCGCATCTCGACTGTTGTCATCTTTATATTATGAAATGCAAAATTCTCATAGTCGGGAAAGAACAAATATTTGTATAAATTTGTACTTACGTAGTCTTACTGTTTATCTTAATATAATCGATACATGGCTGAGTGAAGGACGGTTAGAAGATTGGCGAGATGAATTTATAATTGTGAGGTACAAATAAGAAATAAATAATTAGAATTAAAATTTACCATAATAATAATTCACCATATATATTTTTATGCTTATTTTTATGTCTATTATTATATGTAGAATCACAGAGGATGAAAATGATGAACAAATTGAAAAATTTACGATTCGATTATTCGATAATATCTGTTTAACAGATCCAATTATGCAATTTTTATTGCAAAAAGTGCAACATATGGGTCACAGTATTGAATTACTTGTATCTTTAGATCGAATTACCGATATATGGAGAATGGATAATGAGGATAATGGTCTCTAATTATGACAAATATCTTATATCATTATCTTATAAACTTATATTTCATTATAATTTATTACAGATATGAGGATCTCATTAAACATTGAACTACAAAATAAATTGTTATTGGAAATATCTAAGTATAGCCTACCAGTGGAGGAGACAGATACTACATTGCAATTAGATGAAATATTCCTACAAGAATATGATGCTGATATTGAAAAAAATATAATACAACAGTTATCAACTTTACATAATCTATTTCTCATGAAAGCCATGGAAGATTACATGCCATCTGAATTGTATAAAAACGATACAGTGGATACTCATGTGCATAATACTCACGATTCTAAAACAAAACAAGGCCAGATACATAACTTATATAGAGAGTATGTATATGTATTTATTAACATATTAAGATA